ATAGTACAGAGACACGCAACACCCATATAGATAAAATTTGGCTTGGTAGTCTTTTTTTTTTTTTTTTTTGGTTTTTCGAGACAGAGTTTCTCAGCTTGGTAGTCTTGAGACAAGGTTTCTGTGTAGCCCTGGCTGTCTTGGAATTTGCTCTGTAGAGCAGGCTGGCCTCAAACTCAAGATATTTGTGTGGGCCACCACACTCAGCCCAAATAAAATTACTTTAAATAAAAGAAAGATAAATGACAGCTGAGGAATGACATCTGTAATTGTCCTTGGGTCTAGATACACACACATGCACAAATGCGCACACACATCTTAAGTTTCTGGGATTGTGAGTAGGGTATGTCTTTCAGACAAGATGGCACACTGTTAGAGGAAACATCCCTTTGAGGACACTTTCCCGAAGGCAGGTCTCTGCAGCTGTCTGTAGGGTACTCACCTTCAGACTCTTGTGGCTCGGGCTTGGCTTTGAACAGTAAATTATGCTGAGCATCTATCACGTACGGGCAGTTTATCTGCCCTACCAGGACTTCGGGCCCATACTTCCTGTAGACACAGCAGTTGAACAGGTCCCTCAGAGTACTGTCATCAAGTTGTTGAGGTAGAGACAGCAGCAGGTCTTGGGCCAAGTCAATGGGTACGGTCAGGTCAGGCAGGATCTCATAGTCCAGAACATGCTACGGGAAGAAAGCCAGCCTGGAGCAGCTGAGCGAGCAGATGGTGAGGGAGCCTCTGTGGGAATGGGGCGTTCTACACACACCCGCCATTCTGAATCTCTTGTAGCATTCCAGACCCCTCCGCTGTGGGCCCCTGAAGCGGTCCAACCTCCATTCCCCCTCCCAAGCTTTCCAAATGTTCCAGTCCAGGGGACACACTTCTGAGGAGTGCCTACCTCCCCATCCAAGTGCTCCTGGAGCAGATCCACAATGTGCTGACGCCCTGCTGCACTTAACTTCTTGATGAAAAAGAAGAGCTCCCACCACTCGGCCTGGGTCAAGTGTTCTCTCTCTTCCCTGTCTTCCTCCTCAGGCACCACATAAGGCTCGGCAAAGAGCTGAGTTATTGGCTTCCAGCGCTGGGATGGTGGGACTGTGAAAATGGGGTGTGGCAACAGCCAAGTCACCGCCTGCCCAGGTAGGCCTCTGCTTCTCTGCTCAGAGCCAGCCCCTCCCACAGCTCACCTACACTCAGTGCTCCATTGGCCTCTGGCCCCTGGAGCTCAGCAATTTCAACCACATCCTCGATGTCGTCTTCAAAGCCCAGGATCTCAAGCATGTGCCAGTGTACCCAATAAGTATGGCCTGTTGAATCCCACAACACCTTGGAGCGGGGAAGAGGGGAGAGGAAGACAACCTGCTATTGACCAGCTGAGGCCCAGCGCTGGGCCTCATAAGGTAACCACCTCAAGTAGCAAAACACTGTCTACAGAATATATAGAATGTATATAAAATGACGTATACAGTATACGGATAGCCTCACCTTCCTCTTCAGCAATTGCCTCTACCTTCTTACTCCCTTTAGTCTAATTTTTATTCTACTTTCTTTCAGATGGAGGGTCCCAGACTGACCTCAACACTGCTCTGTGGCCATGGCTGGCCTTCAACTCCTGACCTTCCTGCCTCTCTCTACCACCCAAGTATCGGGATTACAAGCATGGCGACCATGCCTGCATCCCGTCTATCTTTGATACCATGACTACTCAATGTTTCCATCTGGCATCAACTAGCCCATCTTCTGGATCCTGACCTGTCGGTTTCTTCTTGGGTCTGAACCTCCTTTGCTCACATACCCCAAGGGCTTCATGTCCTTGCAACCTTCGACGCCTTTGCCCGTTGGATCTTAACTGAGCCCCCAGGACAGAATGTCCAGATAGGTATACCTTACCCAGAATAAAATTTCAGTGTCCCACCACCGTGCAGCCCTTACCTGCACAGGGGGCACACCATCATTGCTCTGTCGGAACTGGCCCTCATCCCCAGCAGCAATCTCCTCGTAATTCTCCAGCATCCGTACCCGCATCCCAGGCCGTAGCATGTCCCGCACGTACAAGGTGTAAGTATTGACACTTGTGAACGCGGTGCGGGGGCGAAACCGCCTGGACCTCCTGAAATGGTGGGCACGAGGGTGGAAGAACTCTGCTGGCTGAGACTGGAAAGTGGAAGGGGAAGACTTCCCTGGTCTGCTCGACGCTTCGTCCCAGCGCAAGGCCTGCACCAGCTCAGAGATCAGCGTGCCCATGGCCATACTGAATTCCAGTTCCAGCCGGCCCCTCCCTACATTCAACTCCTCAGGAATGAAGTTGTTCTGGGCATCTTCTTCCTCTGCATTGCTGTTCAGCCGATCCAGGAGGAAGGTGACATGTAGGTAGCGTTTCACCAGGGAGAAGAGCAGCCGTCCTGGGACCTGTGGGATACGCCTTTGACCACACCCATCTCCTCTGACCTTCTGCCCTCTTTCCACAGTGTCCTCTGGGACAAGTCCGCAGCTCCCACTACCCCAAACCCTCACAAGATACCTTTGGCAGCTGAACACCCTCGAAAGACATCGGGTGTTCTGCGAGAGTAGCCTGAGCAAACAGCGCGAGAAGAGCGCAGCGGCTGTCAAAATCCAGGTGTTTTTCAATGGCCTCTTGTTGGCTCAATGACAGAAGGATCTGGGTCCGGGTCCCTGGAACCCACACCTCCAATCAGAAACAGCTCCCTAAGCTCAGTCTTCCAGACACCCGTCCTCTAGCTTACTACCCATCCTTTGCCAGCACTCACTGGGAATGACATATTTTGTTGATTTGCTCAAAAGCCAAGTTTGCTATCACACTCACACCCTCTCTCTCTCTCTCTCTCTCTCTCTCTCTCTCTCTCTCTCTCTCTCTCTGCAACAGTCTAAGCTCTTCTTTTGCATAAAAAGCTAACGGATTAATATGTTCTTGCTTATTCAGTCTCTCCCCCGTCTCTCCCCCCAACAAACATTCCCCCCCAACCCCGCCCCCTCCTTTTTCTTCTAAGAAAAAGTGAATGACAACAGAACCATTACGTACTGATGAGGTCAGAAGGTCCTGTCACAGTGTCCTCTGAATCCCTGAGCCGACCCAGACCCTCTCCTGTTCTCCCTTCCTCCCCAAACTGTCCCTCACCAGCATCATGGGAGGACAGAGCTTGTATCATCCGGCCCGCACTCCAGCGGATCTGATAATCCGGACTGCTCAACATGTGCATGAGCAGGTCCAGAACTCTGCGGTCTTTGAAGATGCCAGTGAGGGGCTCGATGCTGGCATAGGCACTGAGGACATGGACCGTGTGAAGGAGAGGGGCAGGAGGAACGGCGCCCACACACTCCTCCAGCTGCCGAAGGGCCCTCTCAATCAAGGACTTGACATCTGTCTCCATCTCCCTCAGCACAGATTTGTCGAGGGCCCCGGCCTCCGCAGACTCCTGGGAAGGTCCGATGACTTGACCATTTTCCCCCAGCATCTTGTGGCAGTTGGCATAGATCTCGTTGTCAGTCATCCAGAGCAGGATATGCTCGGCCTTGCAGTCCACTTGACTAGAGTCCCCGTCCCCATCATCTCCACGCCTGAGGATGAGCCAGCGGATCTGATACTCGGGGTGCCCGTTTTGGCCAACCCGTTGGCGGATCAATTCATCCGGATACGCGTGCAAGCCAGGCCCCAGGGGCACCCTGAATTCCCTGTAGCGGAGCTCCCCCACCATCCTGGTACCTGAGACACACAAGGAAGAGAGAAAAGGCAAGCTAGAGTGAGAGGGAGGTCAGAAAACAAGGGCATCCAGGAGTTGGAGGAGCAAACCAACAACAGCTGTTACTCTGGGTGGAGTAGAGTTGGGCCTGCTTCGGCCGAGTGAGACCTGGACTGGGCAGAAGAACACTGTGGAGTTTGTTATTCAAGGGCAAAATATTAGAGCTAAAGTCTCCAAAGCCTGCAGCCTGTAGTGGGGTTGGTTCAGAACACTGCATAGAGCAGTGTTGGATTTACAAATGAAGCCCAGGATCCTGGGAGAGATAAAAAGGTAACTTAGGAAAATGGGTGTGTGAAGGCACTGGACTGTGTCGGAGAGGGATGTACTCTCTAAACTGAAGCACTGGGTTGTAAGGCCCAAAGGAAAGGGCACAGAAATGGCCATCAGTAAAGCATGACGGGCCGAGAGAAGGGGAAGGAATAGAGACATCCACGAGTAGAGGCGCGAGGCCGGGGAAGGGTGGTGCATCAGGGGTCCGATGGATAAGCGGCGCGAGGCTTGGTGGATGGGAATCAAGACCTGAGAAGATCGGGAACGGGCGTGGTGGGATAGGATGGGGAGGTAGGCCCGATAAAGGAGAGTCCCGAAGCACGGTTGGGGAGGGGACGCGAGGCTCCGCGGGCGATCGAAAGCCCAGAGTAGGGGCAGGGGCCGCGGCGGGGCTCTGGCCACCTCAGAAGTCCGCCGGGATCCTGGCGCGAGGCCTGTCCTTTGCAGAGCTAGGGACGCGCGGCACACGATGGCGGCAGCGGTGCTGACGAGTGTTTGGGCCCCGCCTGGGCCCCCTGAAGGGGTCTAGGCGCAGAGGAGGGGGCGTGCCTCTGCAGGAGACAGGCGGGCAGAGGGCGTGGCCAGCAGAGATTTCACGCCGCGCGCCGGCGCACTGCCTGCTGCGGGGTGGAGCCTTGCCCTGGCTGGGGCTCCAGGCGATCTGAGGCTCCGCCACCAGCCTCAGCCACCGCCCGATTTAGCGGAAAGCCGGGGGCCAGGGGCTATCAGCGGGCGGAGTAGCGGGTGCCACCTGGACAACGCAGCCCTCCAGTTCCGCACCGCCCTTTCCTCTTCCTCTTAGTCCTCCTTCCTACTGCCGGAAGTACCTTCCCATTTCCCAAAGCCAGAACTGGATAGGACCTTGGAGGTCATTTCTACCCCCTCCCCATCCGTCTTTTCCATTCTCTTCCCTCTGTCCTTGTTTACGTCTCGTCCAGTCTGGACCGCGCCCTCCAAAAGTGAAAAGATAGTAGCAGATAAAAACAAGGGACATTTTATTAGAGTCCAGGGGAATCAGCTTTGGGCAGCAGCGGAGGGCAGCTTCACGTAACTCTTCATGGGTGGCAGTGGCCGAATCTTTCGGCCGGCCCAGCCTCCCTTGCGGTGCCAGAGACCACTGTTAGGCCTCTTGCCCAGCCAGCGGTTGCGTCCTGCTTTGCCGATGATCCGCTGGTTATGGTTAACGTTGGAAACCCGGCCTACAGTTGCAATGCATGTCTCCAGCACCTGAGGAGAGAAGCAGACAAGATGGCACCGGTGGGGGCAAGAGCCTGGCAGGGCAGTGTTGGGAACACGACTCTGGGTGGCTTCTTACACTCAATGAGGTCCAGGAGAAGTAAGAAATACAAAATATTAGAATGTGAGTGTGAGTCCGACAGAATGAATTAAAAGTTAAGGAAAAAGACTCCCCACATCTGTTTCTGTTCCTGTGGTTTCCTTTTGGAGTCAGGGTCTGGGAAGGTATGTAGTCCTGGCTGTTCTGGCACTGTACCAAGACACCTCTGCCTCTGGAGAAATGGGATTAAAAGCCAGTTCCAACCTGATGGTTCCACCTACTCCTGTCTTTTCCTGGTTTTCTGAAATAACCCAGGTGGCTTGTTTCTTTTGCCTCATCAGTGTCTGGAATGCTGGGATTAAAGACATGTACCGCCATGCCGGCCGGGAAAAGGCATTTTGACTATTAAGGTACCAACCTGATAAGGCATGCTTAGTCAGGTAGCAAAGAACAGAGCAGACACAGGTGGAAGCCGTACCTCGCTGGCATCAGAAACACTTGGGAGCTAGTGAGGTACATTCCAAAACTTCCTTCTTTGCTGACCCCTCCCATTTGTGGCCACACATACCTGCATCTGCCTCTTAGAGGGCAGCTGGATGATGGCTGTTCCATTCACCTTCCGAAGCAGCACACCGCACGTCCCTGGGGAAGGGGGGAACAGCTTTGCCACCCTCCACAAAACAGAGGGAGGTTTCCATGGCCTCTTAGGCCACATGGTACCCTACTTTGCCCTTCAGGGGCACACGAAACACAGAAGACCAAACACTGTGACTTAGGTTAAAACAGAGCACAGATCGATCCTCTTATTCGTTTTTCTGTCCTTGGAACGGATGTGGGCCTAAGGGGCTCACAGGTCAGTGGTATCAGGTACCCTCCATCTCCCAACTGTGGGACGTGGCTAGCTCTTGTGCCCATACCTGCAGCGCGGATATACTGGGCTCCTCGGCCTGGCTCGCTTTCTATGTTGTTGATGAGAGTCCCCACAGGCAATGCCCCAAGCGGGTGTGCATCCCCTTCCTTAGCAGCCACTAGAAGACAGGGTTTCATCAGCACTAGCCCTCTGTGGCCTCCACCCAACATGTCTACCAGCCATCCCTCACCTGCCATCCTGCCTATGTGGTTAGAGTTCAGGATTGTATCTCCCGCCTTCATGTTTTCTGTGGCAATGATCCAGCGTTTCCGGCTGCCCCCAGCAACCAGAGCTATGTCTGCAGATCTGTTCAGGATGATAGACAAAGCCCGCATTTTCTGAGACGCTACAGAATAACAATTCAGACCACATCATTATCAATTCCCATCCCAAACTTGCCTACAAGGATCATAGCGGACTACCACAACCTTCTCCTCAAAGGGTTCTGCCGAAGACTCCTTTTCTGGCCGGAAACGCAGAAAGTCAATCATTCGATACTTCTGCTTGTGGCCTCCACCAATACCATGTACTCGGATGCGGCCTAGAGTCAAGACAGTTCAGGGATGTGATCCAGGTTAGAACAGCTCTCAGCCTGGACTGGACAGTAGTACTCCCTCAATAGCATATCACAAACAGAAAACCAACAAAGGGTTGGGGGTGTAGCTCAGCGGTAGAGAGCTTGCCTGGTAAGCGCTGAAGTCCCAGGTTTGAGCCACAGCATGTTGGGTGTGTGGAGGCCAGGACATCCTGGTACAAGCAGTAGGGGAACACTTGCATGGCCCAATAAAAATACGATTACTAAAATTGTATGAAACATAAAGTTTTCAAATTATTGAATTCAGTAAGCTTACTGAGAGGGATATAAATCGGACTTACATCATTTAAACCGTTATGAATTTTGGGCCCTTGTGTTGAGCCAGTTATCTGTTTCTGTGTGGTCTTCAATCATAACCCACACAGTAAGACGCACTGTGCCTCAATAACGTCTTACAGTCTATAGTGCACTGCTATAGACATCCAGGAGCCTAATGCAGTCCCCTCCTGAATGCTCCAGGCCCGTTCTCCCACCTGTATGGTCTCGACCGCCAGACTTCCTCATCTTGATGGGTTTAACTGTGTACTTGGTTTGACTCTTCCAGGACACAAACTTGGCACTGCGGTCCGCAGACATATGCACTGGGCGGTGAGAGGGCAACGCCAAGGCAGGGGGCAGCTGAAGGAGGGCATTGCTCTGTATCTAGGGATTAAAAAAATATTCCCTTTCAGAGAACCAAGGGAGAAGCCACATAGACCAAGTTTAGCTTATAGGCTACTTCCTTCCAGAAGCATCTCAAAACACTGCCCCAAATCTTCAACCTTCAACTTTCACAAATACCAGCGCAATGTGTTTATTCAGTTACTTCGTAATCATTTGGTAAACCTCGGAAATACTTCTCCAAGGAGATATTCTCCCTTTCATCATCTTCCAGTTTGTTTCAAATTCTTGCCCAGAAACCTTTCCTTCCCTGAAAACTTCACTTCTCTAGAGCTGGTAAATTCCATACACCCACATACCACCCTCAGCAACGGTGACCTTTTCACTCTGCACAGTTTTTAGGGATTTTCGGATATGAATGGGAATGATCACTTTGCTTTTCCACTTGCTGTAGACCCAGTGTCTGGTTTAGTTTGGAATATCAAATATACATTTGCTAAATTCTGCCATGCTCAGCCTGAGAAATGCAGAGAAGGAAGATCAATAATTTCATTTTTCTGTGATTCACGATTGCCCACTACAGATCCCACTGTTCGACATTCCCTAATACCAGCAACAACCCATCCGAACATTACAATGGTTAAGAGCACTGGTTCTGGGGTGAGCCCTGTAGGTCAGAGGGAGAAGTGGATAGCATGAGCGAGGCTCTAGGTTTAATTTGCAGTACTAGAGCAAAAACAAAAGCAAGCTCTGAGGTGAGTCTGTCTAGCCCCAGAAGGTGTAAAATTTAGACTGATGACCAGTTTTCTCATCTGCAAAATGTGCATAATAACTTTCAGGAGTTCGTTTAATTCAGTCCTCTACTTTGCCTGGTTTACAGTTGGCACATTAATGTTACTACTGTAACAACCTGTTTACTAAACAATCTGTTTAGTAAAGATTTGTAAAAGCACTTAGAAGCCAGTATCTCGTCTGACGAATGCAGTTCTCTGAGAGAGCATTTACAAAGAGCGAAGGATGAAGGCAAGTTTACCCAGGGTCACGTGATCATGACTGGCCTTGCGAGAACAATCCCATTTCCCAGGTAAACGGATTACCTGGGCAGCAGGGAGCAGACTCGGAACCCGGGCGGTAATGCCCAGGGATGCCAGGCTCAAAGAGCGCAGAGCACTAGTCAGCGTACACAAGGCCATGGATGGTCACACTCCTCCGTACTGCACTCGCTTTTACTTTTATCCTAAGCCTTGTGCTCTTGGATGACGTTTCAGTCACAGTAGCGTCGCTTTCCGATGACGTAAAGAGGCGGGCACAGAACTGCTGCGCCGCAGGATACACGCGTTCTTTCCTCGCTAAAGAGCTATTCTCAGCCAATCATCGGAGGGCGCCGAGGTCACGTGACTGAAAGACAGTCCCGCCCCTCCGAGCCGTCAAAACAATTGCCTCGAGCGGCAGCCATGATAAATTTAAAGGGGCAGTACCCACGAAGGCGGCAGCCGGACCAGCAGACTGCAGGTGAGTCTTTGGGAGTACCCCTGGGGCTGAGAATTAAGTTTACACTAACTCTTGTTTCCACATTCCGGGACAAATGGATAAGTCACTTCCTATTAACCTCACAAAACTAGACTGACTCAAAAACTCCGCCCCCCGCGATTCTTCCCCGCCCCTCGGCGTCCAGACAGACAGTAGGACAACCTGCCCCGCCCCCTGTGGAACCCCTGACTCAGTGACCTCGAGCTTGTCTGCTGTCGGGTTTTGGTCAGCAACTCTTTCCTCACTCACTCTGCCTTTCCTCCCCGCAGACCTTCACGATCTTACTCTGTCCTCACCCTCGGCCCTCAGGGCAAGTTAGGAACCTTATACACTCCTGAATTGCAGGCCCCCAGGCCCAGCGCCTTTCTCCATGAGCCCACTGTGCTCAGCAGATCTGTTACGCTTCCCTGAACCATCCGGTACTTGAGAGGCACCTAAATGCCTGTTAGGTGATTTTGTCAGACAGAGCCATGAAAGGAGGCTATTGCAGTAATCCAGTTGGGAATCCTAACCAGATCTCCCTTCTCAGCTCTTCACAGGGACACCACACCCCTTGCTGCAGGTCTCAGATTAAATCGGTCTTTCTTTCCCTTATTGGGAGAAAGTAACTCCTCAGAGCTGGAATGAGGAGATTGAGTTAAGGAAGAAGGGACATTAGTACAAGTCTCTGAAGAACCTGTAGGCTAAAGGAGGGAGGGTGTTTGTCCTGGGTGGGGCTCTGTGCCAGGTCCTCTGAGAGGCTGTGAGGTGGTGACAGAGAAGGGGTGGGACTGCCGGACTTCTGGACTTTGGGCAGTACAAATCCTTCTAAATCCTTAGTTGCAGATCAGAGTTTCTTCCGGGCTCTGGCCTGGGAGTCGCCTGAAGCCAAGGTCTTCTGCTCTGTACTCGGGTAAGGAGACTTCAGGGATGAGTTTGGAGGAAGTAGGAAGACCGGCTGAATTCTGGGAGGAGGGGTGGGCTGGCAAGTGAGGCCGGAAGGTTAGCTGGACAGGAGCTCAGCAGGTTGGGAGATGCTGGGCTTTGTCCCTTTGCTGATGCAGCCTGAAGACCTTCAACCTTCCAGAGCCCTGTAATGAGGACTGCTGTTTCTCCCCCCCCCCCCCCTTTCCTAACCTTGGGTCCTTCCCTTGTATTGAGACAGTGCTTTCTTCACAGTTCTTCCACACGCCCTGAATGATTCTTTTTTTTTTTTTTTTTTTTTTTTAGTTTTTTTCGAGACAGGGTTTCTCTGTGTAGCCCTGGCTGTCCTGGAACTCACTCTATAGAACAGGCTGGCCTCAAACTCAGAAATCCGCCTGCTTCTGCCTCTCAAGTGCTGGGATTACAGGCATGCGCCACCACTGCCCGGCTGCCCTGTATGATTCTTACAATGCCTCCACGTCCTGCTTCTTTTTCCTAACTCATGCTTTCTCTCCAGTTGCCAAGTATTCAATTCCTCTAGCTCCAAGCCTGCCCGACTATTCTCCAGATCTTTCCCTCACCTCAGTTTTATAGTTAGTGCCATGGAATTTCCTCCCCTTTACCTTCTCTCTCTCATCAGCTTAGCCACGGAGTCCCCTATACTCTTTTCCTTTCGTGTGGATGCCCAGCAAAATCTCTAACAGCGTGTCTTTCATCTTTCCCACCTGAACTCTGTGGTTTCTCTTTAGCCTAGGATGTCAGGCCTGGTGTTGGGGCAGCGGGATGAGCCTGCAGGGCACCGGCTCAGTCAAGAGGAGATCTTGGGCAGTACCAGGTTGGTGAGCCAAGGGCTGGAGGCCCTACACAGTGAACATCAGGCCGTGCTGCAGAGCCTGTCCCATACCATTGAGTGTCTGCAACAGGGAGGCCATGAAGAAGGACTGGTTCATGAGAAGGCCCGACAGCTGCGACGGTCTATGGAGAACATTGAGCTGGGACTGAGTGAGGCCCAGGTAAGAATCAGGGGTGATGCCAAGTGTTCCAGTTACCTGATGCAAGTTTGGGGTTTGGGGTCACCTTGTCCTAGAGACTTGGATTTTTTTAATTCATTAGATTTCATTAAGTAACTACTGTGTGTAAACTCTGCTGCATGCTGGTGGTGCATTACAGAACACCACAGGACAATTCCTCTCGGAACTGATATTGCAGCTGAGAGAGATAGCTAGACCACAGGTAAATAAGTAAATGATTTATTTACTAATGATCATTGCTAAGGACGGAACAAAGAAAGGAGGGGAGGGGCTGGAGAGATGGCTCAGTGGTTAAGAGCACTGACTGCTTTTCTAAAGGTCCTGAGTTCAAGTCCCAGCAATGGTGGCTCACAGTGGGATCCGATGCCCTCTTCTGGTGTGTCTGAAGAGAGTGACAGTGTACGCATATACATAAAATAAATAAATCTTTAAGAAAGGAGGGAAGTAGGAAGAGGGTACAGTTTTACACAGAGCGGACATAAAATAACTCACTGAAAGGTGACATTTGAGGGAAGATTTGAGGGTGAGGAAGAAGCTGTGGGAAAAACAAGTAGGCAGGACAGTGCGCAGGCCTTGCTTGGAGCCTGGCCGGTGGATTTCGTGATTTACAGGGCTGCTGTGGATGTCTGCAGGGTGCACAATGACACAAAGTAGGTGACTCAGGAGGAGGAGGGATGCCATGGGAGACATCCACAGATAACATGGAGCCGGCAGGCTGTCCGAGGGTTGAGAGAGATGGGATGGCATGTCTGAGGAGTGATGGGATTCTGCCTGGGGTCATCTGCTCTCTGGATGGGACTAGAACTGGAGACTAAGGGCTGAGACCAGGGAGGCTGAGACCAGGGAGGCCTGCCAGTGGCTGCAGTTGTCTGGGTGGGAACTGGCCGTCTGATGGAAACGATGGGCGTGGTGACAGCTGAGGTTAGAGTACCTACTGATTTAATTCCATGCATTCATTTATGGACTTATTTATTTATTTTATGAGTACACTGTAGCTGTTTTCACACACACCAGAAGGGGCATCGGATCCCATTACAGATGGTTGTGAGCCACCATGTGGGTGCTGGGGATTGAACTCAGGACCTCTCACTGAGCCACCTCTCCAGCCCGAGTATCTCTCTTTTTAAATTCCATTCATTTATTTTATGTATGTAGGTGTTTTGTCTGCATCTGTGTCTGTATACTCTCTGTAATCCTGGTATGTGTAGACGCTAGAAGAGGCCATTGGATCCCCAGGGACTGCAGTTACACGTTGGTGCTAGGAATTGAACCCAGACCCTCAGGAAGAGCAACCAGTTCTCTTAATCACTGAGACATCTTTCCAGCCCAGTATTTCCCAACCTGTGGGTCGTAACCCTTTGGAGGTCAAATGACCCTTTCGCAAGGGTCACGTATCAGAATCTTGCATATCAGATATATTTACATTATGATTGATAAGGTAGCAATATTAGTTATGAATTAGCAATGAAATAATTTTACAATTGGGGGTTAGCCACAACTGAGGAACTGTATTAAAGGGCCATAGGATTAGGAAGGCTGAGAGCCACTGCTCCAGCCCCTCTGAGGTTCTGTTCATGGCAGAGCTCTTGCCACTTCTCCTGTTTGTTGCTTCTTCTCCATCATCTCCCAGAAGGCCATCTGTCTCCTGGATGCTCTTATCCGAAAGCCTGGAGCTCATATGATGTTCCCACCTAGGTGATGCTGGCTCTGGCTGGCCACCTGAGCACGGTGGAGTCTGAGAAGCAGAAGTTGCGGGCCCAAGTACGGCGGCTGTGCCAGGAGAATCAGTGGCTCCGCGATGAGCTGGCAGGCACTCAGCAGCGGCTCCAGCGCAGCGAGCAGGCTGTGGCTCAGCTAGAGGAAGAAAAGAAGCACCTGGAGTTCTTGAGGCAGCTGCGCCAGTATGATGAGGACGGGCACGGCATGGTGAGCATGTGAGCCAGGGGTTGCTGGGACCGCAGGCAGGGTGACCGTCCCACTGTCCCACTGGAAACATCAATGCTTAACGTGTTCCTACTTGGAAGAATTTATTTTTAGCCCTGATACCAACTCCAGGTAACAGCAGGAGGAAATAATCTTGACTTGTTCCGTCAACTTGCATTATATGTGTACTCCCGTGGAGAGTGGAGTGAAAGTTCTTGTTCTCACAGTTAACAGTGTGTGGAGCCAGCCAGACAGACAGACAGCTCGAACCTAGAGTCCTAAAGGAGAGCATCGCCCACTTTAGCAGGAGACTGCTTACAGTCTTCTCTCAGTGAGCTGGCGTTTAGGTATCCGTGTGCCAGAATGCAGGGAGGAGGAGGCTATGCAAAGGACCTGCCTTCTCAGGGCTGTGCAGAACTGGGCTCATACACAAGGACACCAGGTGACTGGACGAAGCAGCAAGCACACAGTGTGGGTGTGGCTCAGTCAGTTAGAGGGACTGCCACCTAGATAGGTCCCTGAGGGCTGGCATGGTCACAAGGGTTCAGAGAGGAGGTGGGGTACAGAATTGGGAGGTAGTTATAACAGCGTGTTCACTTAAGTGGGGTAGAAAGAAGTTGTGCTGGATTTCAAGGATGAGGTGAGGAAGGGAGCTTTCTGGCCTGGAGGAGGTAGTATAGTTAAGACTCAGGGCTAGACTGATACTCTGTCCAGGGACAGTGCAGAGATAATTTACCCGGGACACAGATGAGCCTGATAGGAGGGTTTGGAGTCCGTGTGTCAGGCTCCCATCCCTGAAGAAGAAAGTCCATTTTCCGTTGTGGAAATGTGGTAGACGGTAAGGGCTGGGTCCTAAGCCCACACTGACCAAAGGCTGAGCTAGACACTTCGAGTACGTGTC